ACAAATAGGGAGGAACTGGTTGAGAATTTGAAAGTGGAAAGCAGCTTGGATGAATGTGATCATGAAATCATAGAGTTCATGATTCTAAGGAATGGTAGAAGGGAGACCAGCACAATAGAGACAATGGATTTCAAGAAGGCAGATTTTGGTAAACTCAGCGAATTGGTAGGTAAGGTCCCATGGGAAGCAAGACTAAGGGGAAAAACAACTGAAGAGAGATGGCAGTTTTTCAAAGGGACATTATTAAGGGCCCAGAAGCAAGCTATTGTTCTGCATAGGAAAGATAGAAAGTATGGCAAAAGACTGCCTTGGATTAACCAGGAGATCTTGCATGATATCAAAATAAAAATGTCATATAAAAAGTGGAAACTAGGACAAATTACGAAGGATGAATACAAGCAAACAATACAGGAATGCAGGGGAAAGATTAGAAAGGCAAAGCACAAAATGAGCTCAAACTAGCTATCGACATAAAGGGTAACAAGAAGACTTTCTATAAATATATTAGAAGCAAGAAGACGACCAAGGACAGGATAGGCCCATTTCTCAGTGAGGAGGGAGAAACAATAACAGGGAAATTGGAAATGGCAGAGGTTCTTAATGACTTCTTTGTTTCAGTCATCACCAAGAGTCTGATGAGGAAGGCTGACTAACTTAGTGAATACTAGTGGGAATGGGGAAGGTTTAGAAGATTTTAAAAAAAGAGAAAGTTAAAAATCACTTGGAAAAGTTAGTTGTCTGCAAGTCACCAGGGCCTGATGAAATGCATCCTAGAATACTCAAGGAGGTCATAGAGGAGGTATTTGAGCCTTTAGCTATCATCTTTGAAAAATCATGGGAGACCGGAGAGATTCCAGAAGGCTGGAAAAGGGAAAATATAGTGCCCATCTATAAAAAGGGAAATAAGAACAAACCAGGAAACTACAGAGCAGTCAGTTTAATTTCTGTGCCAGGAAAGATAATGGAGCAAGTAATTAAGGAATTCATCTGCAAACATCTGGAAGATAATAAGGTGATAGTTAACAACCAGCATGGATTTCTAAATAACCAATTATGTCAAACCAATCTGATAGCTTTCTTTGATAGGATAATGAGTCTTGTGGATAAAGAAGCAGTGGTGGACATGGTATACCTAGACTTCAGTAAGGCATTTGATACGGTCTCACATGATATTCTTATCAATAAACTAGGTAAATACAACTTAGATGGGGCTACTATAAGGTGGGTGCATAACTGGCTGGATGACCATTCTCAGAGAGTAGTTATTAATGGTTCACAATCCTGCTAGAAGGGCATAACAAGTGGGGTTCCACAGGGATCTGTTTTGGGACCGGTTCAGTACAGTGTCTTCATCAACGATTTAGATATTGGCATAGAGAGTATGCTTTTTAAGTTTGCAGATGATACCAAGCTGGGAAGAGTTGCAAGTGCTTTGGAGGAAGATAACTCAAAATGATCTGGACAAACTGGAGAAGTGGTCTGAGGTAAATAGGATGAAGTTTAATAAGGACAAAAGCAAAGTACTCCACTTAGGAAGGAACAATCTGTTTCACACCTACAGAAGGCGAAGCCGCTGTCTAGGAAGGAGTATTACAGAAAGGAATATAGGGGTCATAGTGGACACTGTGTGTTAGGAATAATCTCTGGACACACTGGGTGTTGGTGAAAAGAAGCAGAGGATTTATTGGTTCACACAGCACTGGTGGAGTGCGGACCAGGTGGTTAGCCCAGAGCATACTAACTTAACCAAAACATACATTAGATTCGCAGATGGATGGAGGAGAAGTGATTCGATAGGTCCAGCAGCGGAAGTGAGATATGCACATAAGTCAATGGTCTAAGACAGTTACACAGCATCTCTGCCCATTGCCGATTAAACATATTATCACTAATACAGGTAATTATTCCTAACAAGCTAAATGTGCCAACATAAACAGGATGGCAGCCCCCAGAATGAATATATTGCTGTAAGCTTGTTAGCTGAACTTGTGATGTCTAGGCGGCACAGATGACTACATCCCCATCCTGGCACAGTCGTTGAGATTCAAGCTCATTATTCTGAAAGCACAAGAGACAGTGAAACCTGCGCAGCCTGGCTGATACCAGCCAGGCCTTATCAGAGTGAGAGAGGCCCCTCTGAGATGTAGTTGCCATGGGAATCAGGGTCACAGTAACTAATGAACTGTATACTTCCCAAGCTTGGCCTGATTCTTTCAGGTTCGAGTTTGTAGTTCTCAGCAAAATACCATGGACTGCCTCAATTTACCCTACACTGTGCACAACCTAAATATGAGCGAACAGTGTGACACTGTTGCAAAAAAGCAAATATGATTCTGGGATGCATTAACAGGAGTGTTGTGAGCAAGATACAAGAAGTCATTCTTCCGCTCTACTCTGTGCTGATTAGGCCTCAAGGGGAGTATTGTGTCCAGCTCTGGGCACTACATCTCAAGAAAGATTTGGAGAAGGTCCAGAGAAGAGCAACAAGAATGATTAAAGGACTAGAGAACATGAGCTATGAGGGAAGACTGAAATAATTGGATTTGTTTAGTGTGGAAAGGAGAAGACTGAGCCGGGACATGATAGCAGTTTTCAAGTATCTAAAAGGGTATCAAGCAAGAGCGAGAAATGTTTTTCTCTTTGGCCTCTCAGGATAGGACAAGAAGCAATGGGCTTAAACTGCAGCAAAGGAGGTTTAAGTTGGACATTAGGAAAAACTTCCTAACTATCAGGGTGGTTAAACACTGGAATAAATTGCATAGGGAGGTTGTGGAATTTCCATCTCTGAAGATATTTAAGAGCAGGTTAGATAGACATCTATCAGGGATGATCTAGATGGTACTGGGTCCTGATGTGAGGGGAGGGGACTGGACTCAATGATCTCTTGAGTTCCCTTCCAGTTCTAGAGTTTTGTGATTCTATGTTAAGCCATACTCTGAGATGCTCACCACTATAGCATAGATGAGACTAGAATCCAGATTTCTGCCTCCTATTCCTTGCTCTGGTTGATAGAACCATTGCCTCTAGTGATTACTTGTAAAAATACATTTATACAACAGCTCTCCTGTCTTACCTCCTTCTTTGAGGTTGGAATTAAAAACCTCTCCTCTTCAGTAATTCAAAAGGGGGAAACAATCTGTTGTTTCTCTGTTCTTTTAGAAGGAATCAAGCTCTAAAACTTGTCAGTTACCTTATTGCAAGATTTAATAGGGGAAAAAAGAATCCATAAGATTTTCAGTCTGCTGCACTGGAAAATAATGAAAAAGGTTGCTGAATGCAGTTGAATAATGCAGAAAGTTAATTCTGAGAAAACCATATCCCTCTCTTACAGGGAAATACTTGAATGGCTTGAACTGAAAAATCACATTTATAAAATATTGTCTATGCCATGCCTCTGTGCACCATCTGAAGCCTCTCAAAGAGTGAACCATAGAAATTAGACTACATTTTCAGAAGAACATGTCTACACTGTCCATACAAAATATGCACGTACACATCCACGGCAGGAGATGAAGGACGTGACTCAGGCAACAGAGCCGCCCAGAGGGAACAGCCAGCATTTCAGCATTACAGTCACAGACATTGGGCTACTATATATATGACTGGCTCAAAGGGGATACATTTTGAAAACATTTTAAGACCAATTATTAAATTTGTACTTGTAATAAATGAAGTCTTGGTTACAATGAAAAAAGTGGAGTAGGGACCTCAATATTTGAACCACATTATTTATTAACTGTAGGTCTCAATGTCTATGTAACTTTTATCATCACCTTTGCACATATCCCTACTCATATTCTGATAAGTCTCAAACAGACCTTTGAGGTAAGTTCTGATTGGATCTGTGCATGCTCAGTTCCCAATGGTTAGTAGCAACTAAAAATACCAACTACCTTCCAGGACCAAGCCTAAAACTATTTTTGAAAAATAATTGCATACACTAGATATCACTAAAGATATTTCATGCACAGCTGCCAGAATTAGGTTGAACATGGATGTCTCTGCTGACTTCTGCGCCACTCAGCCAGGGCGCCGCGGGGGAGCAAATGGCGAAAGCTACCGTTTGGGCTCCGCAGTCCCCCGAGTGAGAGGCAGGAGGGGGAGAAGAAGAGAAAGAGAGAGACAGAGAGAGAGGCAGGAGGCGGAGGAGAGCTGAGGGAGGGAGGTGAGATGCAGTAGGAGGAGGAGAGAGAAGAGACATACGGAGTGAGAGCCTGGAAGCTCAGGAGAGAAGACCAACATGGAGGAGAGACCTGAAAATCCCATCTTATGGGCTAGTTGCTAACTAATTGGCTAGTTGCTTAATAAGCTTCAATGATGCTTACATGTGATAAGATTTCCAATATCTGAATAATATGATTTTTTTTTTAATATTATTGTTGTTGCCTCAACTTGTATTCCAACTAATTAGATCTAAACTAGGGGTCAGATGAGATGCCAGATATAATTTCCTGACCTGCTTTGTTGGTCTGAGTCATTCTTTTAGTATTTTCATAGTAGAAGCAAATCGGTGTGGAAAGGAACTGTCAAAATGGAGGTGCTAGAACTTATACAAAAAATCAAACCTAATGTCAAGTCAACACAGTTTTCTTTGTGTGTGTCAAAAAGTGTCAAAAATTGCTTTTGTGCTAAGTTGGGGCTCTTAAGGAAATTAGCTTACAGATATCACCAATTCTACATTTTTGGCTCTATTTCTTTTTGGATTTCCTCTCTAAACTACATTGCACAGTTGATTATCACATACACAATTCACAAGGTGTCAATAAGGATCTGGCAGCACCACTAGAAGGAGAGCCAAACCTGCTTCTAAAGACACAGTTGAAGCAATAACGAGCATTAGCTGAATAAATGAAACTTGTTAATTTACTATTTCATGTTTAAACAATGTATTCTGGGCTTCATCAAGGTTAATCAATTTATCACTCTAAACAAACCATCAGAGACTGAAAATACCCACTGTTGAATTTGAATTCTGTTTATTAATTCTGTTTATTATCTCAACAGTCAACAAAAGTCAAGGGACTTGTAAACAATTTAGATCTCATTTTTACGATAAAAATGACAGAATTATCACTATACTCTGGTACCCTCTCTACATACCAGTTTTGCATGCCACTAAAATTGTAAGAGGTAGTGATGATGATTGTTTTATTACTTAAACAGTAAATAAGATCACTTCATAAACATTTGCAAAACTCACTACTCCTTGTCATCCCCTCTTACAACTCCCGTTTGCCATGAAGTCTACAAAATAACTTGATGATGGCAAGCCTGGCAGTGTGCTGAGACCATAGCCTATCTTGCTGGCCAGTATTGTCTCATGGTTTCTTTTGACACCTCCATCTGTCTGTATCCATCTTGTCTCTTGTCTTGTATTTAAGATTGTAAGTTCTGTGGGGAAGGGAATGGGTTTCTTTCTGTCCTTTGTTTGTATTGAGCCTATCACCATGGAATTTTTTCCTTCACTGATGCTCCTAAATGCTATAGAAACACAAACAATAATTATGTAGCAAAATACAGTGTAAAGTAATATGGTGAATAAAACCATTTTCCAGTTACACTACACAGCTTATTATCTAGAGATCAATAAGTGGAATCTTGTGTTTGTATGAGAATCATATGACCAATTATTCAAAAATGAGTATGTTTCCCGAAGGGTACGTCTACACTTGCCCCCTAGTTCGAACTAGGGAGGCTAATGAGGGCAACCGAAATTGCTAACGAAGCGTGGGATTTAAATATCCCACGCTTCATTAGCAATTTTGGTCACCCTCGTTAGCCTCCCTACTTCGAACTAGGGGGCTAGTGTAGAAGTACCCTTACAGAGGAAGAATCACCAAGTGTTTAAAGGGACTTTGCATTTGTCCTTATAGGAAACAGAATGATTTTCAGAAGAGCCCAAATTCCATGAAAATAATAAAGATGATAATAAAATAATATGGTGAGAAGCGTTAACAATTAACTAACTCTGATGTGTGTCAAAGGAAGTCTATTGGCTGCATCACAGTGTAGACATGAACAGCCTTTTATATCCTACTTTTCTCTCTGATTTTTTTTCTCATACATATTTGTTTTTTCAGCCTCCTACATTGAATAAGAAAGCACTTAGTAGCATTTGAACTCAAGTTGAACATTCAAATCCATGCTCTTTGTGTGTGTTTGATATTAAATGAAATGTATTTCCTCATTCCAAGTTTATACTGTCTTCTGTATAGAGAGGTGCAAACCTCAATTCTGTATCTTGTATTTCTTTTCCTTTTTTAATTGCTGAATGACTGAGTGTAACTTGGGAAGAATGGTTTGTAAAAGTTCTCCTCTATTCTGTGCTGAACAAAGCAATTGAAAAGGTACACCAGGTAAAATTAATCCCTTCTGTAACGCTACTCATGTCAGCATTGGATAAATTCAGTCCTATTAACCCTGGACCCAGATGCTCATGGAAATCAGTGGAAAAAGAATCCCATTGACTTCTGTGGATTGTGGATCAAACTTAAACGTGACTTCTTTTTTTTTTAAAGACCCTATTATCCTATTTTAAAAATGGGGCTTGACTATTAATAGTCCTGTCTTCTTTCCTTCCCTTCATGAAGAAGTAGAAGTTGAAAGTACCAACTACACACTCTGGTAAATTCACAAGATCAGCTCTGTCACACATTAGCATATCAATTCAGTTCAGTCAATGGAACCATTTGCTGTTTCTTGAATTGATAGTGGTAGAAATACCGTAGGAGATACCATTTGCAAAGCAGATAACTATTTGAGTGAATTCAGTATTAGAATTTGAAATGTATTTATTTAGATTTATACAGTACATAAATAAGAAGCACCACAACCTTAGCTCTAGTTTAGCAAAGACATGAAATTGAAAATTTCTAATTTTGGACTCAGAAGTCACCTTAAAGCACTGGGCCACACAGAAAACACAACTGAAGGAAGGCATTGCTTCCCCCTTATGCTCTATAACTTAGGCTATCTCTACCCAGCAGCATTATTTTGAAATAACTGACATTATTCCAAAATTTCATAGTCCGTGTCTACATAGCGAACAGTTAGTTATTTCAACATAATGTCAAAATAATGTCAAGCCAGAGAACTTCTTACTCTGACTCCTGTAACTCTCATTTTATGAGGAATAAGGGAAGTTGGAGGAAGACTGCTCTACCTAGGACTTCCTGCTTTGTAGACAGAGCCAAAAGCCAAAATAAGCTAGTATGACTTAACCTGTGCAATTGACATATCTGAAGTTGAGTAGTTTATTTTGGATGTAGCCCTGTTGTGTACATGTACCCTTAGGCTACATCTACACTGCAGGCTTTTTGCACAAGAAAGGCCGTTCTTGCACAAAAACTTGCAGAGAGTCTATACTGCACGCGTTCTTGCGCAAGTAAATTTACCAGAAAAGAGAGCTTCTTGTGCAAGAGTTATTCTTCTCCCCATGAGGAATAAGCCCTCTTGCGCAAGAAGGCAGTGTGGATGGGAACAGGGGTTTCTTGTTCAAGAAATCCCTATGGCTAAAATGGCCATCAGAGCTTTCTTGCACAAGAGAGTGTCCACACAACCATGACTCTCTTGCACAAAAGCACATGGTAGTGTGGACGCGCTCTTGCGCAAGAACCCTTGTGCAAAAAGTTCTTGTGCAGGAAGCCTGCAGAGTCCATGTAGCTTTAGGCTTTGTCTACACTGAAGGGTTTTTGTGCAAGAAGCTTTTTGTGGAAGAGAGCTTCCACAAAAACTTCTTCCGCAGAAGCACATCTGCATCACAAAAGCGATGTGCTTTTGCACAAGAAAGTGTCCACAGTGCATAGACGCTCTTGTGCAAGAAAGCTCTGATTGCCATTAACAGAATGGCCATCAGAGTACCTGTGCTTTTTCTGATAGGCTCTTTTTGTGCAAGAAACCCCTGAAGAACATCCACATATGCCTTTTTGTGCAAGAGCTGTAGCGCAAAAAGGAGTTATTCCTCCTGGTGAGAGGAATAACTCTACTCACAAAAGCCCTCTGTCCTGTTGATTTACTGTAATTTTTTTGCGCAAAAACGTGCTTGAGGTGTGGATGCTTTGCTGGTTTTTGTGCAAAAATGGAAGCATTTTTGAGGTGTGGACACTCCGTGGTTGAAGTGTGGGCTCTCCGCCATTTTTGCACAAAAACCAACACAGCATCCATGCCTCAAGTACGTTTTTGAGCAAAAAAACTCTCCCCAGGAGGAATAACTCCTTTTTGCACAAAAAACTCTTGCACAAAAAGGCATGTGTGGATGCGTCACATGGGTTTCTCGCACAAAAAGAGCCTATCAGAAAAAGCACAGGTACTCTGATGGCCATTCTGTTAATGGCAATCAGCGGTTTCTTGTGCAAGAGTATCCATGCAGTGTGGCTGCTCTCTTGCACAAAAGCACGTCGATTTTGTGGTGTGCTTTTGAGCCATGGACACACTTTTGCAGAAGATGTTTTTGCGGAAGATCTCTTCCTCAAAAAGCTTCTTGTGCAAAAACCCTGCAGTATAGACAAAGTCTTAGTGGTTACAGCTCTCACCCAGGTTGTTAAAGATGCAAGGTCCAGTTTCCCCTTTTACCTAATGTAAAACAGGGGCTTGAACCCATCACTTTCATCTCTTAGGTGATAGCCTATTTCCAGATCTTCACTGTAAGTTTTGTTGGAATATATTTTCTCTTATAGGTTTGATGCAGCAAGTGCCAAACACTGTGGCTCAAACCTAGCAAAGCATTTAAATGCTTCCTTAAAAATAAAGCATGTGAACAGTGTTGTAAATGTCAGTGTCAATCTGTGCATTTAGATTAATAGATTCAACATCAGAAAGGATTGTTCTAATATTCTAGTCTGACTTCCTGTATAACACAGGCCATAGAACTTCCCACAGAATAATTTCTATCACATAATTTTTAGAAAAATGTTTAATCTTGTTTTCAAAATCATCAGTGAGTGTGACTCCATAATGATCCTGGTAAGTTGTTCCACTTGTTAATTACCTTCACTATTAAAAATGCTCAACTAATTTCCACTTTGAGTTTGTGTATCTTAGACTTGTATTATACTTTTCTCTACTTAAAGTTAAGCACATGCTTTGTGAATGGGAACAGGGCTATTAACATTTTCCACATTTGAGCACTCTAAGCAAAACTATATAAGTTAGCACCAGTGCTTAATATTAGGTATCTGTCTATAGGAACCATTCTTTGCATTAGATGTATGTATTAGGCTTACTTTCATTTTAGGAATGTCATGTGTTTTCCCTTAGAACAGTCCGCCTACAGTTGACATACAAAAATTTAGTATGAGTAAAGGAACATTCCCGGTGAAGTATTGAAAATGCTGGAAGCTGATTATATAAAGTCATTTGCCACTAGATATGTTGGCTGTTTTATAAACTTCTTGGTTTAAATATTTTCTTCACCTCAGAATGGAGACCTGCATTAGCAATTTCATGTTGAATACTTTTACTGCATCAAGGATTAGTCTAATGTCTAAGCATTAACATATGTTATCTTGTTTAGTCCTCAAGCAGGTTTATATTGTTATGTAGACCCTCTGGATTTTCTGAAATGCAAAGCTAGAAATTATTTTATTTTTTTTCCTATCTGTGGAAACTAAAAAGGCAGAGAGAACTAGAATATTTCAACAATTTTTAAGATGCTTGATGCATTGCAAAAGCAAAAGCCATTACCAAATGCAAATCACCTCTTAGTGAAGTCAGAGCTGTAAAGAGAGATACAGTACATCAACCAAGAGATAAAAAATTATACTGATGTTGAAAAAAGGAAATTCAGGGATTGTTGTAAGATGGATGCCCTCTGGGGCAATTTAAGGAGTGATGTATAGGCACGTAGAGTGTGAGTTAAATGAAAGTAAACAGATGTCAAACAAGTACATCTACACTAAGAACTGTAAATATTATGCATAGGATTGTTTCATAAACCCCCTATTGTCCACACAAACTCCTGGAAACACAAGTTTCAAAGTGGCCCATGGTAACTGAACCAGCCTTACTGTTTGGCAGAACACTGAGGGGAGCGAGCAAGGATGCAACAGGGACTGTGGCTGATCTCACCTAACATTTGGGGGGGGGGGGCAAAACAGTGGTTATTCCTCTCCTCTCCACTCAGATCCAGGTTGCAGGATGAATAACATGGGGAGGACCCTGCAATACTGCTAGAATCCATCCCCTTGGCTGGTAAGCTATAATGGTCCAATGCTATCCTCTCTTGTTGTAATGCTAAATTCCCACTTGTGACATCACAGGTGTTTGAAGCTATGCACACTTATTTTTGGTCCCTGGACAACTTGCCATGCGTTGTTCTGTGCCTGTATATGTGAAGTGCAATAGTGAAGCCATATTATCATCACACTCCATCTCCTGAGAAAACTCCTCTAACCTTTCCCTCACAATCCAGCCACAACTCCACTGCAGAATGGTCCTTGAAAAAGAGAGAGAGTTATAAACTAGTGTTTTCTAATTAATCACAATTACAGGCTCTGTGCCTTGGCATCCATTGCTATACTTTAAAAGGTAAAATTCAGTGAATCAGTGTGCCTCTGTGTTTCTGCAGTTCTCTGCCTCTGTATCAGTGCAGTTCCCACAGATGAATCGCAATGATGGGAAATGTCATATATGAGGAAAGGGATGAAGTGTTAGAAAACATACAGCTGATTACATGAATTGGGGGGTTGGTGGGGAAAATGGGCCCTGCTTGGGAAAGAGAGAAAGATTTTAGACAACAAATTAAGTGGTTTACAACCAAGTGAAGTCTTTTCTCCCTTAGGAGTTTAAAAGTCTAGGGCTAGTCTACAGAAGAAGCACTTAAGCATGCAGCAAAGCAGTTGCAGTGCTGTAGCATGTCTGGTGAAGAAGTTCTATGATGCCAAAAGAGAGCTCTCCCATTGACATAATAAAACTGCCTCTGTGAGAGGCGATAGGTCTGTGAATAAGCCACCCTCCAATCAACGTAAATTACACCAACCTAAGCTGTGGTGTAAACAGTGCTGTAACAGAGTTTCTCCTGCTAACACAGCACTGTCTCTGTTGACACTTAGGTCACTGGATGTGTGCACATCTGGCATCCTAATTTCCCTTGCCTGGTTGGACTCAGGACTGCTATGATGTATGGATAGGAGATCCAGTCGTCTCTACAGAGTTTTCAAACCAGATTTCTTCTGAGCCCACTCGGATTTATTCTCACAATTATTGTATAGTGCACAGGAGGAGATGATCATATGAACTATGCCACATTGTGCCACAAGGTCAATGTCTGCCATATTGGCAGCCACATATTTCTGCAAGCAGCACCACTGAGCCTGCAGCCTCCAAATAAGACTTTCATTAGCATTCATCAGCTGCCTAGTTTGAATCTTCAGTCCCTTTTTCTAAGTCAGTTGACATCAGAGCATGGTTCCATGAGCCAAACCAGGTGTATGGATGTGGGTTCCCCCAAAATAACAGTTGACACAGCTACAGTGGTCAGAAAAGTATTATTTCTAAGGAATAAAATCTTTTCTTGCCCCTTCAAGTACAATCCTGACCTGTAAGCACTCTGACATCATGAATCTTCCTAGTTTTCCCCATGTGATCTTCATGAATATGTTTCTCAGTCAGACAGTTAGGCTGTGTCTACAGTGGTGCACATATCCAAGTACTGGATCATTGCAGAATAATGGAACCTTGTCAGATCACATACTCACTTGCCCTAAGTGATGAGCAAACTATCGTGGGGTATGTCTACACTACCCTCCTAGTTCGAACTAGGAGGGTAGTGTAGACATACCCACAGAGAGTTACTCCATAGGATTTTATTGTAGCACTGTAGTCCTTTGTTTTGTTTTGTGACAGAATCAAACCCTTTATACCTAATCCCAACCCCTTCTTAGCCTCCATGGGAAATATAGATATTTAATAATTGTGGCTGATACACCAATATATTTAAACTTTGAACTTCTGATCTTTTCTAATGTCACAAGTAAAATAACCAACGTGTCCCTTTTCTCCTCTCCTTCTCCTGTTGCTTTGCTATTAAGGCTCACAGGACTTTTTACTGTTTGAAGCTGAGACGTATGGACATGTAAAGAAAAGATCAAAGTATACTCCTGATTAATAAATCTCAGTAAAAATTACTGCACAAATGCTGGTAAAAAAACCCCCCAGACTTCATTCAAGAATAATGGACAGGTGTCATCAATGGACCCCGCACAGTTCAGAAACTGCAGTCTTTGAAAACCAGCTGTGACAGAGTCAGGCCAGGTGGCTCCTGGAGGGTGATTCTATTGGGATCCAGGAAGTGGGTGAGTATAAGAATGCCCATGGTCATAGGACCTGCCTGCAGGGAGGAGCCGCTGAACACTGGAAACCAAATGGTTACTTGGGACAAATTAAAAGAAAAACAGGAGCAGGGGTGAAGATCTAAGGCAGGGGTGGCCAACCCGTTACAGATGAAAAAACAAAATAGTGGTGGATAAAGTGTAAAGAGCTGAGGGGGGAAAAGTTGTTGAGCAAAAAAAACAACAACAACAACAACAAAAAAAACGTGTATAGCCCTTTAAAGAGCAGAGCAGGCCTTGCTCTTTAAATGGTGGCCATTTTGAAGAATGCATGGAATGCTGCGGGTGTAGGAGCCACAATTTTGGCCACCCCTGATCTAAGGGCTAAACCAAGGGAACCAAACAGGGACATGGAGCAGAGAACCCCAGACCGCACCTACTGCTCCTCAAAAGCATTGATCTAGTCAACAAACAACACCCAGAGGAACTCTGCCTGGATGCGTGAATGGATGCAGGAATGGAAATAGACCCCATAGTTGCAGGCACTTCCGTCAGCCAACCTATGCTCCCTGGTCCTATAAATGGCCACCTTGGTCATTAACAAGGAGGGCCTGAAACTTTGAGGAGCCACAAATGGGTTATGCATAAATCAATAAGTGAGAGGGGAAGTGCATCCAGAGACTCAACAAGTGGTTCTGGAAAAGCCAAAAGAGGAGCTGTATCATGGCACATTCAAGACAGATGTGTGCCAGGGTCTCCTGCATGCCACAGAGGGGAAAGTATCAGGGACAGGGTAAACTGTGCCAAGTACACACCCATACTCACAAAGCCATGGAGCAGCCTCCAACTGATGAACTTGGCAGGCCATGGAACCAAGGCAGAATACAAACTGGCCCACTCGGGCTCCCTGCCCACTACTACTAGGTATTTGGGTAGGACATGAGGGTGGGGAAGTGAAGAGTGTAAAGCACGAGTGTGTACAGATGATGCCTTGGCGTGGTTTGAAAGGAGACCAACTGCAATACATGGTCAGCTTGGGTGACTACAGGAGGGTGATAGAAGGCAGGTATACTAGCCCCAGATTAAATAGGTCTCTTTTCCTGGTGAAAACTAAAAAGGACCAATTCAGAGCCAATTATGACAGGTTAATCAGGCCATCTGGAGCTAATTAAGAACCAACTGGTACTGCTTAAAAAGACTCCTCTTCCACTAACTCACTACATGTGCAAGGGGCTGGAATAAGCAGGCACTGTGAAGGGTTTGGAGGGTACAAATGCTATCCAGTACCAGGAGGAAGTGCCTATGGTAAGGAAGGTACTGGGAAGGGCTGTGGGGAAGTGGCCCAGGGAATCATAGCTCTCACACAGATGATACTGGGGACATTATAGGCAGCTGCTATCACAAGATCCCTGGGCTGGGACCCAGAGTAGAGGGTGATCTGGGGTTTCTCCCATTCCCCAACTCCCTATTTGCCACATGAAATTTGATCTGAAAAATGGGAGGCACCATCAGGGAAGGACTAATTTGGAAAAAGGATTGTCCTGTCCCTGAACTACTCAGAGGCAGGGGAGGTTATTGTGTTTGGTCTTCCCTCTTTTCTCCACTCTAGCCAATGAGGAGGGTGCCTAAATAAATGGCATGTGTGTTCACCCAGCAAGAGTGTCTAAACTGAGGGCTGCCATGAACCTCTGAGCTGAGCAATAAACCCGAAAGCACAGGTCCCACCAGGACAGAGAAGGAGCTTTGTGTCACAGCTATTATTTCTTGAACTTTTCTTATGCCAACTCCCTGTGGGTCAAACTGTGTTAATTGCCTCACAAGCCTGCCCAGTCATGACACCGACAGTGGACTTTCCAACTTCCAGGTAGTTTGCAATGGACCTATCACTGTCTGAGATAGACAGCTTCCACAGGGCAATAGCAATCCTCTTCTGAACCGGTTCCTGGATTGAGAGTTCTGCCACAGGAAGCTTAGTGCAAATACCTTATACAGCTCAATGAAGGTCGGTTTGCTCATGTAAAAGTTCCAAAGCCATTGCTAGTCATCCCAGGTTTCCAAGATGATGTGGTCCCACAATATGTTGGTTCTTCTGCACAAGAAATGACAGTCAAATAAGAGGCACACCCTGCAATACTGGCAGACAACATTTCTATTCAGTGACATGTGAATTTGCATTAACCCTGAAAGTTAGCCATTTTCAACATGTCATAAAACACTGCCAGATTCCATCCAGCCTCTTGCCAACCATTTATTCTACTGCTCAAATATTTGTTCCATAATGAAGAATGGGAGCAGGACATAGTCATCCCACTGATCTGTGCTTTCATGCAGTTTCAGATGGCACTTTTAATCATGTCACCCCTCTTTTGTTTCCCTGAAAAACTTGGTTTAAGGCAGGGAACAGAGCCAATAACACACAACAAATTAGTTCTTATGCATTGTCACTTTAGATACATGGGGTTAGTACTAACATTTCCCAGGGATTAATGCATCACAAAGAGACATTCAATATGTGTCCATAGCATTATACACATGTCTAGCACAATATATGTGGACTTTCGGGCACGGGAAGCATGCACAAGCACAAACACAATCCAGTGCTCAGATAGATATACCTCAGTAGAGAGAGCCTAAATGACAGAGTCTAAGATAGTTTTGAACTTACATCTATCCATCGAAAGGTAATACTGGTCAAGACATTTTTGGTCATATACAAATGTAATGATCTCAGAATAATCCTTTGCAAGAAACTTTGACATTCAAGTTCAGTGTAGTAATATGTTTCCCTTTTAAAAATGACATCACCACATTTAACTAACATTGTACTAGCATCTTTGTGGACTGATATTAGTGAAATTAAATGTCAGAATGTAACACTCAAGGAAAAATCCTCTCATTGGCACTCATGAACACAATGGTGGGAAGGGACAATCACCTTTCAATTTGCTTCCTACACTGCAGTATAATCATGAGAGATGCTAAATATAAGTCACTACTTCAATTACATTAATGAAGCTGTACATGGAACTATGTGGAAAAAATCACTATGTACAGTATTTAGGTTTGCAAAAAAGCAACACATTTCAATGTTCTTGATTTGTTTGCCTCATTGCTGGGCAAAACAAAGTTTTTATATGTGAAGCATTGTCATTTTTGCATATTTAATGTGCATGATGTGACCATAGATAACTTTACATAGCTTTGAGTAACTGCAAAAGAACCATATGCAAAAAAGTTCATTAACTATCTAGTGGTAACAAAGCACTGTGCAAGTCTATATATTTCCATTCTTTGAAAACTCTTTAGTTTTGCACTAGAATGATATTTTCTGAGCCAAATTTGCAACATATTTATGACATTGAAAGCAATAAATAAAAGCCTTTTCAATTTGTTAGGCACCTATTCCTGCAAGGTTTGAAACATGAATGTCTAGATTTGAAGAAAGATTTCTACCGAGAAGTTACAGACGCATCTCAGGGACCTGATAGCAATATTAGCTCTGCTTCTTTGAAGGCCTCTATTCACAAGAGGGTAATTTTAATTATTTGCTGCTACAATAAGTAACTTAAATCTAAGTAGTAGAGTTTCAGTTGGGAGATAGCCTGAGATGTCCCTTTACAGCACTACTTTGAATGAGCTCACAGCAACACTCCAGCAATCCTAGAATTGGTGATACAGCAGTTTGGCAAGGTTTGCCATTCTCACCTTCCTACAAACTTATGCATAGCACTCCCATAAAAGCCACAGGATTGCTTTTGCAGCAGTTGAATAGTACCAGCGAGAAAGTTTGTTTTCAATTCTTATGCAGTCTTTTAATAGAATAGAACTTCATGGCCAGTAATAGTATCCTGGGCGTAAGAGTGTAAATGTTTCATATCTGGGTAATAAGACTTTTGTACAGAAAGAATATTTGGAATAAAAGTAATTATGACTGATAACATGTCTAAACCCCCAAGACTCTCTCTGAAAATCTCAATCGGTGATGATGGGTAGGATCATGCCAGGAACTGTTAGTGTTTGCATCACAATGTTCCATACATGATTTTTAAAGTGTTATAACATCTGTCTTGAAGTGTGATAACAGATTTTGCTTCTCTCTGATTAATATATGACAGTTATGGCCTCTCTATTCTTCTGTTTGGGCTCTGGTGAAGACAAAGTTACCAAGAGTGCCAATATTTCCAGGAATTAGTGACTAAGGCACTTAGACCAGTAAGTTAGATTTTGAACCTTACTTCTCTGATTCTCTTTTCTTAAAACACTTTCTTATCTCTAAAATAAAACTGGCCTTGTTTCAGATATTACTCTTGTAAGTATGCTTAAGGACTTAGATTTCCAGTACTTACAGCCTTTTTCTCAGTTCTACCACAAGGCTTTCAATCTTATCTGTTACCTGCCTGCTTGTCTGGGCCTGATCCTGTTTCCTTTTTTCTGCCTGCTTGCCTGGGCCTGATCCTGTTTTCCTTGCTAAATGGAAAGTGGCTCCTTTCCACAGACTCAGGCTTTGTCCCATTCTTTAGCTTGCAGGCAGTTCTATACTTACAGAACTGCACCCACAACTTCTCAGGATTTCCCCAATCCTTTTCTAACATTTCTCTATCCCATTTTGGGTTGCCCCAACCTTCCTGGGCAAACCCTTTCTCTATACCACTAAAATCCATGTCTATCATGACAGGCTTCATGTTGCTGTATGTGAACCAGTAGCACAATCCTGCCGACTACGCCAATTCTGTCAGCCGACGGTCAGGGCAGTGTGTGTGTGTATGTTTCCGAGAAAAGGTTTAACGTCCGTGCCTTTACTGCTAGGACCGGGGTCCCATCGCAGAGGGTGGCCAGCAGGCCAACAGACGCCCCGTTATATAGGAAGAGCTTATTACATCTTAGATTTCAGCTGCTAGAATTTCATAATCCCTTCGCAGCGGGCAGCCTTGAGGAAAGACTGAAAGATGCCCCAGTGGGTCCTGTCACCTGGGAGTGACACAGATCCAAACGCCCAAGCTCTTCCTATAACTGTCCCTTTAGACCGGCTGAAGTTCTTTTAAATTGTGCTTGGTTCTGTTACAGCAACTGAAGGAGGCAGGTTAAAGCTTAAACAGTTACAGGTTTATTAAAGAAGCTTATAAATCATATGGTTACAATGGCTATTGCTCTATTTCTTAACTATTAGCAAAATATAGGTCTTAAAAATGGTTACAAAGAAGATAAAGATAGAAAAATAGAAATAATGGTACCAAGTAACAGCTTACTCTTTCTATGTGTACACTTAAGACAGAGGACCACATCCAGGTACCATTTTTACCCCCTTCTGTGCCTCTCGACTCCAGCATGTCAGGCCAGGGCCGGTCCCTCAATTCCTAGGAAAGACGAAAATACGAGGTGGGCGTCCCCATAGAACCTCGGGAGGTCAAACACCTAACCCGACCAGCAGGTAGAGGGTAGAATGACACTCAAAGTGAGTGTGTGCTGGGCCCATCTTTTATAATCATGAGGTCACGTATTTCTCTTTCTTATCTTAATTGCCAATTGATGCTGGTCTGTCTGCTGTGAGACCAGTTCTTACAAGGGAGTTGTGAACTTAATTTACACTTGTAAGAGAGATTTGAGGTGATTAAATTTTGAAGTACAGGACATTGTTTTCTCAGTGGAAAATTCCTCTCAGGGACTGTGTGTGTGTTCGAATCAACATAGGGGCCAGCCGCAGCCTCGAGGCCAGCTTATTGACATTAGCTGCTCTCTCTCCACGTATCTGTGTTTCAGCTTCTCAGGATCAGATGAGCCAGCATAGACTATGCTGATATTATTGCTCCTTCTCTGCCCTGGGCTTCAGAGAGGCAAATAAGATGGATAATATGGAGGCAGGCTGTCTGGCCACATTCCACCCCCTGATACGACACACCACATCCCAGGAATGCAAGATGGTGGCTTGCCAGTGCCTCTTGCCCACCTTGGAGGAATTTAAAAGTACCCAATGGCCTGATTAGAGGGTTTAGGATCTAGGAATTGACTAGGGATCTTTCCTGGTGCTGTGTATCAAATGTGCACACAAGAGATAGCTACATTATCTAGGCATTGCACAATACATAGGGTTATGCAGAAAAGGAGTACAACAATCAAAACAATTAAAACAGTGGTCATAAATGTATCCAGGGAGATTGAAGCGTTCCCCTACAGGTTTTTGTATGTTGCCATTCCTAATATCTGATTTGTGTCCATTTATTCTTTTATGTAGGGACTGTCCAGTTTGGCCAATGTATATAGCAGAGGGGCATTGTTGGCACATTATGGCATATATTACATTAGTAGATGTGCAGGAGAATGAATCAGTGATGGTAGGGCTGATCTGGTTAGGTCCTGTGATGGTGTTGCTGATGTATATATGTGGGCAGAGTTGGCACTGAGGTTTGTTGCATGGATTGATTCCTGAGTTAGAGTTATTATGGTGCGGTGTATAGTTGCTGGTGAGAATATGCTTCAGGTCAGTGGGTTGTCTGTGGGAAAGGACTGGCCTGCCTCCCAAGGCCTGTGAAAGTGAGGGATCATTGTCCAGGATGGGCTGTAGATCACCAATGATGCGTTGGAGAGGTTTTAGCTGAGAACTGTAGGTGATGGCCAGTGGTGTTCTGTTGGTTTCTTTCTTGGGCTTGTCCCATAGTAGGAGGCTTCTGGGTACACGTCTGGCTCTGTTAAGCTGTCTCCTCACTTCCTTGTGTGGGTATCGTAGTTTACCGAATGCTTGTTGAAGATCTTGTAGGTGTAGATCTCTGTCTGAGGGGTTGGAGAATATGCGGTTGTACCTCAGTGCTTGTCTGTAAACAATAGATTGTGTGGTGTGTCTGGTATGGAAGCTGGAGGTATGCAGGTAAGCATAGCGGTCGGTAGGCTTTTGGTATAGGGTGGTGTTTATGTGACCATTACTTATTTGCACTGTGATGTCCAGGAAATGGACCTCCCGTGTAGACTGGTCCATGCTGAGGTTGATGGTGGGGTGGAAGCTGTTGAAATCGTGGTGAAATTCTTCCAGAGTCTCCTTCCCATGGGTCCAGATGATGATGTCATCGATGTAGCGTAGGTAGAGAAGGGGCGTAAGTG